ATAATTTGTTTGATGGTTATTAAACATCATTTTTTTTTTGCTAACCAAATTATTAGACATAATTTCCCATAGTATAAATTATATCTAGGTTTTTTTAGATGAAAATTATATCTTTTAAATGTACATTTAAAAGATATAATTTACATTATTCATATTTTAAAATTATTTCATCAGTATTTTGTTTGTCACAATATCAAATACATGTTTTTGGTTTAAAACAATTAGAAATACATTTATAAAAAATGTATTACTAATATGTTATCTTCATAATATCAATTGCAAGAAAAAACATCTTTTAACATGAAGAATCAAACTAAAATGTAGCAAACTAAAAAGAAAACTTAATACTTGTTTATTTTTAATAAAATTAAGTGGACAATGGTCGACTGAAAAAAAAGGAAAAAAGGACAAAGATTAAATGTTAAACTACAAATATTATATAATTTGTTTTAACTTATTTTAGTGGGCTTACTTTTATTTTATATGTACTTATGATGAATTTTCTTAGGCTACTATATTTTAGTGTTTTAACTAATTTGGTGGGCTACATTTGAATTAGTGGATTACACTTGAATTGAAATTGGATAGGGATCAATATTTTGTTTTTGTTGGGGTCAACGTAAAATATTTAACAAAAGTTAAACCAATTTTAAAAATTATATGGGTGTCTATTGACCTCATAATTACATACTACTTCAGTTTCGCCACTGTTTAAGACTGTAACTGAGAATTCTTAAGAGTTTGAGAAGACTTTCGGGATGTCTTGAAGATCTTTTGGTGAGTCTTCTTCCTATTGTTTGTTTGGGCGGGCGAAGGTTTAGGGTAGCTTCATAGTCACCACCCTGTATGTGTAGCATCCCGTTGTGAAGATACATACAATTAACATATCTAGCATCCAAATCTAAGCCATCGATTTTGGTTGTGTTGTCCCAAACTTGTGACTTTTTTTATGGGTTAACAATAACACTTTCTTTTTTTTGCTCCAAAGAAGATACAAGATTAAGCACAGAGGGGTAGTCTGGTCCAAAAATACCACTACCAAAAATTTCAGATCACTTTGTAGGTTTGGGAGCTAGATGACACTTACTCCCAAGGCATAGTAAAGCATTAGTTTTTCGTCTTTAAGAAGCATAATCCACAAGCCCACTGATCCTATCAATCTCTAATTTTTTAAGCGCAAAGCGTAGATGTCGCCCTTCCTTTTTTCTTTTTTTATCGATTTTTTCTACACTGAAAACAGTAAGCTTGTCTGATGAATACCTATGGATAATCATGGGACTCACACGTCTTTCTCTTGAGAAGAATTTTCCCATTGCAACTAGCCCTTGCTACGCTGGCCTCATAGTGGCATCTAAACATTCTCATCTTTGTAACGAAAAACATACATCAAAAGAATATTAATTCATCATACCAATGTATCATAGGCTTAGTGCTTGGATATAAAAAATTAAAATAAATTATTGTGAGTTTGATTTGCAAAGCAATTTCTTCTTAAACTATTTCATATGCTCTCTCAAAACATACACCATAGAGGTGATTTTTCAAACAAAATAATTCATAACCATCTAACATCTTCCACTATATTTCAAAAGTGCATGATAAGAACATATGTATCATACTTGTAGAGAGACAAACTATTCTAAGGTAACCTTTTTGTGTAAAAAATTATAAACATGATAGATAACCATTTAAACAATGCTGTAAAAATTTAATATCATGAAGTTAAAAAAACAAAGAAGCACAAACGCATATGACTAATTTGTAAACAATTTTGGCATTTTAATTTTAATTTCTTTTGTGGCCTAAAGCTTGTCTTTTCTACCAACTTAAAAAGCAGATGACCGAAACAAAATACAAACATATAAAGCAAGTTAACTAGAGATTTTTCTTCGCGTAAACTTATCTACCTTATACCCTAACAAATTTATGCGTTGATAAATAAAGAAATTATGACCAAAAGCATTACATCGAAAAATGAATTCTAGCCCACTGATAATATTTTTGCCGTTGAAATAAACAAAAGATTAAGAAAACATCGTTGCTGAAAAATATAGAAAATAATGAAAAATTCCTTTTTAGAGAATACCAGGTTTTGCATTTGAATTATCATCACAATGTTTGAACCCCGTCTTCTGTTCAAGTTATGCAAAAATTCCTTTCGATTGTCATTTAAAAGATTCGATTAAAACTATGAATAGTGTTATAAGTGTGTCATTAGAAAACCCATCATCTTCTACTTGTAGGTTAAGTTTGATCATTGTGTTTTTCTTATATGTAGCAACACTTCATGATCAATACAATTCCAGTGAAAGCAAAAAGGATTCAGGTCTCCAATCTTCTCACGTTATGGTTTGTCCACGAGTAAAAGCTCTCACTTGTTTATGAGTCCTTCCAAGTTGTTTCGAATAGGCTTTTATCTTCTTTTTTTGGGCCTCTTGAAAACTATTAGTTTCGCCAAAGTTTTTGTAACAAATTTTTTGACTTTCGGTATCTAAATTAACCAAAAACTAGGCCCATTATATATATTAATTAGGTAATTATCATCACAAATTACAAACCGGTTTAAATACAATTTAAATTCTGGAAAACCATCATTACATAATGACAGAGTCGTCACGTATTATCTATCAGAAGCTATGTAACCATGAATGACTAGAAAACAGATGTACCAAAATGGGAGGTTTAGGGGTTAGCTCTTCTTAAAGCTGTCTCTATAGAAAACAAGAAGAAAAGAGTAAGAAATAAAAGCAGTAAATGAATAAAAAAGAGAAAGAAAAACAAACTTTTTAGAACAGTAACAGTTAACCACCACACTCCATGATATCATTTACCACGACCAGTTCCTCTAAAATCTGAACCAAACACTGTCTCATATGTCACGTAACCATGTCTTCCTCTATATCTCCATAAATATATACGTATATAGGCACCTCCTATATAAGTATGGAGCTGTTGTCTTCATAAGCTTCTCTCCTGACTGAGCCA